TGCACTCCAGCTTGGGCAACAAGAGCGAAACTCCGTCTCAAAAAAAAAAAAGAAAGGAAAAGAGGCCACCCTACAGATGATGGATTTTCACCTTGGTTCTAATGTAGAAAACAAGAAGAGCTCTTTTGATAATTCCTAACCGTAAGCCTTCACTCACACAGTTTTGGAGCTGGAGTACATATTATATCTGTGTGTTCTGAAGAACACCAAGCTGAAAACTTGGTTTAAAGTGGACTGGAGTTGGTGAGGCTACAAGATGCCTACAAAAAATAAACTTAAATCCTCCTTGAAGGAATTGACTTTAAGTTTCAAAGAGTAAGAACCTACAGTTAAGAAAAAGTAGGCACGCATGAGGAAATAAGTCACTAAGAGTAAGCAACAACAGAAACTATAGAGTCCAATCGTCAAAGACTACAAATATTGTAATTATCAGATAAAGAACATATTTTAAAAGTGAGACTACAGATGTCTGAACTCTAGGACTGAATAGATTCAGATAAATTTTTTTGGGATTAAAATACTGCCCCCAAAATGGATACTATTTATTGTGGAAGATGAAAACTGCCAGACAAAAATAATTGGTAACTAAATTACAGAAATAATTAACAGGAGCCATTTATAGTGGTGCACTCTACTTGTGAGGCTGAAGTGGGAGGATCATGGGACCAAGAGCTGCAGTGTACCGATTGTTCCTGTAAATAGCCACTGCACTCCAGCCTGGGTAACAGCAAGATCCCATCTCCAGAATAAAATAAAATAATAATGATAGGAAGAAGAAGAAACTGAAGTTATCAAAATCACATACCCAGAGATGAATATGTGTAAGTGTGTACTTGTACCCTGTTTTCATCATTTCCCATGATATCATGCACATCTTCCTCTGTCATCAAATATTTTTATGATTTTCTTTTTCTCTTTTTTTTTGAGACAGAGTCTCGTTCGATTGCCCAGGCTGGAGTGCAGTGGTGTGATCTTGGCTCATTGCAACCTCCACCTCCCAAGTTCAAGAAATTCTTGTGCCTCAGCCTCCCAAGTAGTTGGGATTACAGGCATGTGCCACGATGCACAGCTAATTTTTGTATTTTTAGTAGAGATGGGGTTTCGCCATGTTGGTCAGGCTGGTCTCAAACTCCTGGCCTCAAGTGATCCACCCCCTCAGACTCCCAAAGTGCTGGGATTACAGGCATGAGCCACCATACCCAGCCAGAATTTTTTTTTATTTTCTTAATAAACATTTTTAAAAGTAGAATTGTTGAATATAAAGGTATGCAAAATTTTAAATCCTTTTTTATGATGGTCAGAAACACTTAAGACTTACCATCTTACCCATTTTTAAGTGTACGATACAGAGTATTAGCTACATGCACATTGTTGTGCAACAGAGCTCTAGAAATTTTTCGTCTTGCAAAATTAAAACTCTGTATCCAATGAACAACTTCCCTCTTCACCCTTTCCCCTCTCCTGGCAACCACCATTCTACTTTCTAAGAGTTTGGCTACATTGGATACCTCATGTAAGTGGAATTATGCAGTATTTGTCTGTTTGTGACTGGCTTATTTCTCTTAGCATAATGTCCTCAGAGTTCAACCATGTTGTAGTGTGTGACAGGATTTCCTTGTTTTTGAAGGCTGATAATATTTCACTGTATGTATATGCCACATTTTAAAACTTCATTCATTTATCAATGGACAGTTAGGTTGCTTCCATCTTTTGGCTATTGTGAATAATACTGCAGTGAATATGGATGCGAAGACACTGAAATCCTCTTCTCATTTATTTTGGCTAAATACCCACAAGCGGGACTTGCTAGATCGTATACTGCCTCTATTTCTTTCTTTCTTTTTTTTTTTTTTTGAGGAACCTCCATTGTTTTTCATAGTGGCTGCACCATTTTACACTTCCTTTGAGGATGCATGAGAGATACAATTTTTCCGCATTCTTACCAACACTTGTTATTGTCTAGGGTTTTTTGGTATTTGTGTGTGTGTGTGTTTAATAGTAGTCATCCTAATTGGTGTGAGGCTGTGTCACTGTGGTTTTGGTTTGCAGTTCCCTGATGAATAGTGATGTTGAACATATGCTTTTCATATGCCTGTTGGCCATTTGTATATCTTCTTTGGAGAAATGTCTATTCAGATCCCAATTTTTAGATTGATTTAATTATTTATGTATTTTGGATATTAAGCCCTTATCAGATATATAGTATGCAAATATTATAGGTTGCCTATTCACCCAGTTGGTTGTTTCCTTTGCTGCACAGGAGTTGTTAAGTTTAACGTAGTACCATTTGCCTATGTTTGCTTTTCTTGTGTGTGCTTTTGATACCATATCTAAAAAATCATTGCCAAATCTACTGTCACGTCAATTTTCCACTATGTTTTCTTCTAGGAGTTTTATAATTTCAGATCTTACATTTAACTACTGAATGCATGTTGAGTTAAATTTTTGCTTATGGTGTGAGGTAAGGGTCTGATGTCATTATTTTGCATAGAAATAGCTGGTTTTCCTAGCACCACTTGTTAAAGAGACTGTTTTTGCCCCAGGGTATAGCCTTGGTACCTTTGTTAAAGATCATTTGACATTATCACTCCATGAAAGTTAGTTGAAAATGATGAAACCACAGTATTCACAATATTACCCACACTAGTCCTCATAATGAAACTTTCAAAAATTGCATTTATAGTTTTTCAACTGGACAACTGAAATTTTTCAAATTAGGTCAGGTTTTATTTATTATTTATTTTAGAGATGGGTTCTCACTGTATCACCCAGACTGAGTGCAGTGGTGCTGTCATGGCTCACTGCAGCATTGAACACCTGGGCTCAAGTGATCCTCCCACCTCATCCCACAAGCAGCTGGGATAATAGGTGCATGCCACTCTGCTAGACAACTTTTATTTTTTATATAAGCACTTTATTTTATTTTTATTTATTTATTTATTTATTGAGACAGAATCTCGCTCTGTAGCCCAGGCTGGAGTGCAGTGGCACGATCTCAGCTCACTGCAGCCTCTGCCTCCCAGGCTCAAGTGATTCTTCTCCCTCAGCCTCCCGAGTAGCTGGGATTACAGGTGTGTGCCACCATGCCCAACTAATTTTTGTATTTTTAGTAGAGACAGGGTTTTACCATGTTGATCAGGCTGGTCTCGAACTCCTGACTTCATGATCCGTCCACCTTGGCCTCCCAAAGTGCTGGGATTACAGGCATGAACCACCACGCCTGGCCCCAAGTTTTACTTTTTAAAGGTTTGCTTTTTCCACGAAATTTGAATCTTTCAGGCTAGGAATTTGGATTTGGATTTCCGAAGGGTTTGGGGTGCCTGAGGGAGCTATCAGGGTTTTGTTGGTAATTTACATCTATATAAAAAGTGAAATAATGTTGTTGTATTTACTAATGAGGGTGTGTTTCTGACATTCCACAGTATTCCTCAGTGAGCAGTTCTGTGAGGCATTTCCATCTTATCTCTGTAATGGGAACACCTACATTTTTGTGGAGACATTGGTTGTCATATCTTATGTACCCGTGAGTCAAAGAACTGTGTGTGCCCGTGCCCTTCCTTGACTGCCAACCCTAAGGCAAGAAGGCCTGTTTGGACCACTCCCTCCCAACTTTGTTTTACATTTCTCACCCAAACTTTTCTTCTCACATACTCATTCATCTTTTAAAAGATCGCTATATGGTTATTGTGTATATATTTGGTGGCTTATCTTAAACCTTTCTTGGAGACAGGTAGGATATACATTATTCAGGAAAAAAAAAAGCAAAGTAAAAGAAATATCCCTAGAGCAATGTTTTTCAAACTTTATTGATCTGAGCTCGCTCAGGCAGTTTAAAAGACACCCACATACATTTCTGCATGGAAAAAATTAACTTGTTTTAACAAAAAATAGAGAGGGACAGAATAATTTAAAATACACTGAAGTGTGTAGACATATTCAATACACTGAAGAGTTGTATTTTCCGGTAACATCAGTGGTAAGGGAAATGGTAAAGTTTTGGATAAGAACCTTAGAGAGGACTTACTATTTTGGGCCAATCTTAAAATATGGGGATTTTAAAGACCATCTTGTTTAATGACCATCTTGTTCCGATTTATTCCCAGAGACATTATCAGTAAACTAAAATACAAAGTATATTCAAAAAAGAAATGGTCAGTGTGTTTATCAGTGGACTACTCTCATTAAAAGTGAGGCTTACGTAATAGAAAAAATATCACTCTAGGAATTATAAGGGGAAGAAAGGAAAACTATGGGGCTAGAGGAGTAGTTCTTCTAGAAAATACTACAGAAATTTCTGGTTAAAAAGTACTATAACATTTCCTACTTATGTTAGTGTTCAGCTTTATCTGAAAATCCTCAGTGATACATATTACATTTTTTCCTAAGGCAGCCATTGCCTATTTGGGCAATTATAATTCTTTTTTAGGTTTGTCATTATATCAAGCCAAAATCTATCCTGCTATACAGGGGAAGTCTAATCCTCTTGTCTACGAACATGCTTCAAATGTTTGAAGAAAGTGCTTGTGTGGTCTAGGTTCTCCGCCCGCTAGGTTAAGTTTACCTAGCCTCCTCTGCTGTTTTTCATGTGATGTGGTTTTAGGGCCCCTCTCCAGGCACGACAGGAGGTTGATCTGAGCTTGTGACTTCCCATTTGTTCTTTCTTCAGGTGCTTTGTTCTTTGCTAGGTTATACTAGTCAGGGTGATCTCTTACTTTCTCTTAAGATCTTCCATAAAATTGAAACCTATAACTAAGCACACATTTGAAAGAATACATATACAGATACAGGCTACTCTTAAGTGATGTTTTATCTATATTATAGATTCCCACAAGGTATTTCTTTTAAATTTCAGAAAACAAGAATTACATCCCTAAGAAGCTGGCTTCCAAATGAAACAACCTGCTTGTTTTTTGGCAAATAAGTATGCTTTAAGATGCATAATGTAGTTTTATGTTTTCTCAACATATTAAACAAATGCGTTTTTATTTTTGTGTTTTCAGATAGTGGCCAGAACTATAGTGCCAGTAGTAAAGGTGAACGACTAAGTGCCAGACTCAGAGCTTTACCTGGGACAAATGAACCTTATGAAAGTAGCAGTAACAAAGAAATAGGCAAGTGCTCCCCACCCAGTTCCTCCACACATGGCAGGTCTGAAGAAGACTGGTGAGATGGCCAAAGGTGTCGCTGGGAATTCTTAAGAAATTGATATTTACAGATAAAATGTAAAATGACTTGGGAGACCATTTCTGTTCACTCTGAGTTATTCATTTTGATTATGAGCCTGATTGGTTTCACATTTGTTTTGTTTTGTTTGTTTATATAACTCTAACATGACAATCTCTTTTGAAACCTAGATGCCTCCTACGTGGACCCTCTTGGCCCTCAAATAGAAAGACCAAAAACTGCAGCCAAAAAAAGGATCGATGAGGATGATTTTGCTGATGAAGAATTAGGAGATGATTTGCTTCCAGAATAATATTCACTTTAATATGTTATTTATTAAAGGAAAGAAATTGCCTTACGAGACCATCCTCATGTTAAACCTTGGATTAAATATCCAACCTGTAATTTTTTTTCACTGTCAAAACTTTAAATAAGTGTATTCTATTTTGTAAGTATGCATTTAAGTTGTTTGTTTTTTTCTTTTAAGGACTAAAAACAGGTAAAACTAATACTTTAGGCCAATGACTGACTTAGCTTTTTGAAAACATTGACACACAGGAAGAAATAAATTTATAACACAACCTAGTACATATATGTGTATGTAGTTGTAAAAATTTACTCTTCTTATTGCAGTACCTGCTAATATTTGCTATAATTTCACTCAAACAAAGTGCTAGTAGTGAAGTCACTACATTGATTTCATGGCTTGCAACTTGAAAAATGCTGTGTGGACATAGCACAATTTCTATTCATACTTAAATTGCTTGGAGTTTGGAAATTCTTTGGAAGCTTTGCCTCGTGGGGATTAGAAACACTATTAAAACAATTATGTTTTAGAAGCAGTATAAAGGGTAATGGGATTAAATACCAAACCATAACCCTAGTGCTCTTTTCAGAAGTTCCTTTCTACCTCAGCCCGGGGGTGTGCACCAAAAGCACAGAGCAATAACAACTCTAAGATCGCTTTTCTCACTTGTGACTTAGCGGGGTGGGGGCATGACTGCCTGCATTTTTCTTTAGCAATGTGTTTGGCTGGTCTAGAGTCTCCAGAGGAACTATAAGGATGAGAAAGTCAGAAGAAGTGGCTTATCTCTTAACACTATACCAAAGAGAATGGACCCCTCAATCTTACCATTGTCTCTGCAATGTGCACGCTGGTCTTAGATGCGAGGGAGGAAAACCAAAACTAGACCACATTCCTTGCTCCCAAAGTAGGTTATGCTCTAATGGATGAGACATCCAACAAATACACTAAACATCCAGTATGTGCAGAGAATTAATTAATTAAGATTGGGGGGATACAGTAGTGAAAAAGAACTATACCTTGCCCTCAAGAAGCTTAAATTCTGGTGGGGAAGATGGAAAATATATTTTGTTTGTTTGGGGTTTTTTTGAGATGGAATCTCACTCTATTGCCCAGGCAGGAGTGCAGTGGCACAATGTCGGCTCACTGCAACCTCCACCTCCTGGTTTCAAGCGATGCTCCTGCCTCAGCCTCCCAAGTTGCTGGGATTACAGGCGTGCACCCCCACGCCTGGTTAATTGTTGTATTTTTAGTCAGACGGGGTTTCACCATGTTGGCCAGGCTGGTCTTGAACTCTTGACCTCGTGATCCACCCACCTTGGCCTCCCAAAGCTGGGATTACAGGTGTGAGCCACCGTGCCCGGCCAGAAAATATGTTTTTAAAGGACTCTAGATATTGTTAATTACAGTTAAGAGAACAAAATGGAGCAATGCAATAGGTAGTGATTATAGAGGAGGGACTCTAAGAGGTGGCCTTGGTATTAACATTAGAATGGTGAGAAGAAAGCAGTGTTCTGAGCACGTGCCGCACACTGAAAAATGAATGATCCGGATGTGTCACAGGGTGATTGAGCTACAGTGACAGTGAGTGAGAGGGTTTGGGATCCAGCAATGTGGGTGGTGTGCTACATAGGCAGGAAAGGGAAAGGAGATGAGATCCAAAAGGTAGGCAGGGTTCAGAGCATGTACAGCCTTATAAAGACAGTGTGGATCTTATCCTAGTTACTACAAAACAGCTGTTAGAAGGTTTCATGCAAGGGAGGTGAGTTAGGTGCTTTCATTTAACCTTTAGAAACCAGTCATCACGCTGGTCGCCATGAAGATGAAGTGGGCAAGGGGGATGGAAGGGAAAAGTGGAAACTACTAGCAGTAACCTGGGTAAGAGATGAAAGCAATTGAGACCAGGTTTTTAGCAATAAGAATTGTGAGAATTGGTCAGATTCAGCATATATTTGGAGGTGGAGCTGAGACTTACTAATGGATTGGATGTGGATTGTGAGGGGAAGAAAGGAAAAGATGATGCCAAAATTTGTGGCTAAGGAACGGAGTGGCTAGTGTTGTCTTTTTAGTAAGATAGGAATAGATTTGGGGGGAATAAGTAGATGTGGTTTAGCCATATTAAGTTTGTCTCTTAAGCATTCAATTTGAGATACAAAGAATGCAGTTAATCTTTAAAATCTGGAGGTCACAGAAGAGGTGAGGGCTACAGGTAGAGATGTGGGATCCATCTATGTACACTTCGTACTTAAAACCATGAAACTGAATGAGATCACTTAGGTTTGAGAGTGAGGACAGAGAAGAAGTACAAGCACTGTGCTCGTGAGTACAGGAGAAAAAGGATGGCTCAGCAGAAGAGACTGAGAAGAGCAACAAGTGATGTAGGAGGTTTCAGGATTCAAACTTCCAGTTCTGAGGAGGATGCAGTAGGTCATGGAAGGCCTCTGAGGCAGCTGGGGAAAAAAACAAATCATTGCAAAAATGATGTGTTCAAAGTCTGTGGAGAGCTGTGGAAGCAATAAAACTAAAAATTAAAGAGCCTTTTTTTTTTTTTTTTTTTGAGACATCTCGCTCTGTC